CATAAGCGCCAAATGTTCTACTCGAGTTGATTTCAGAATGGAATTAATATCAAGGCTGCCAAGCCCAACTTTACTAAATTTTGGTAACATTTTGGGTATACAATTATATTTTTGGCAAAAAGTAGCAAAAAGCAACACGGAAACTATCAGCTGATTTCAACTCAACCCGCGTTTAAAAGCTTCTACATATGTAGAGAAAATTAGTATAATATACCCGAGTAGAAATGAAGCATAAACGTAGTAATTGTTGTTGGTGCTAATGCTGGTAACAAGATAGATGAATTTATCTACGACATGAAAGTCATGTCTGACATGGTAGCCAACTCGATAACGATAAGTCATCACCTTGCAATCTCTTTTGGTATCGAACGGCACGGATTCCCGATCCTAACGGAGCTTTTAGTGTTGTCGGCTTATACAACCGTATAATTTCAGCGAAAATACCATACTGACACATAGCGGCGTAGAGACAGCTCTTTTCGTACGAACGAAGGCTGCTTTAAAAACAAAGAAGACGGGTCTTTCATAATATTCGGGGGTTTTCAGTTTGTTGATACCCTGTTAATCGACCGCTCAAACAAATAATATATCCTAACTCTATGCCTTGAAAATTCCCAAATTTTAATTTATCAATGGAAAGTGCGCCAACATATATGAAAAATGCATGATGCCATATGCCGTCAGCTCGTAGAAAGATTTTTCTATCACTTTTTTAAGGTCAAAATGAAAAATGTGATGTTTATACTTGTATACGTGTACGAAATTCTCTCTTCGTTTCGTTGTGAATTTTCCTCATTCTTGTCGGACAAACAGAACACAGCTGAGCGATAGCATTGATACCAAATGAAAACAATATTGACGTAAAAAACAGCAGCAGTGCTGTACAAGACGAACACAGATGAGCGGCAACATTAATGCCTAAGGAAATCAGCTTTGATAAATTTTTCTCTACATACTGTTACGATTTTACTGAATCAACCTCGATTATTTTCTAGATCCTTCGGGTACGATCTCTGGATTGTTAAATAAAAACTCGCCAACTTAATTTGCAGTTTCTTTCGTTATAAAGATTCTATCTAATGTCCTTTATTTTCTCAGTAATTCACAATTCAATTATACTGCACTTTACTATTTATAATCACTAACATCAACTTTCACAATTTACTCTACTTAAATGTAATTCCCAACGCGTTCACTTTACGTCTTCACTGATGTTAACGCCAACCAATTTGCTTTGTCACTGCTTGACTTGCAGCTGAGTGTCGCCTTTATATAGCAGTCGGCTGCTCGCAGACGAAAGCGTAGAAGCATCGAATTGTTCGCTATGGAAGGTTCTTGTTTTATCGTACTAGTTATCGGCTTCTCTCTTTCATCTGACATTCGCCTCGCATTTTCGCAACAATACTATATACATACATACAAACATTATTAAGATTCAGTCTTTATGTGTTTAATAGGGTCGTGTCTTGGTGATTCAACTCCTCAGGTCTACGAACGCCTCTGTCATAGTCGCGACATGTTGTTGTATTGGTGAACCCATCAGCCGGTTCTTGCAGGGTAGTTTTTACTGGATCAAATTTTCCCAGCACGAATTTCCAACTTTTTCTCCAGCTAAATGTCAAAAAAGCGGTATCTCGTTACCAATTTTTACTGGATTTTTGGCTCAACGAACACGATAAAGTTTGGTCAAAATTTTAGTCAACGAACAGAACTATAATAAGTCTACTTTTTCACACTGTGTATACCATGCATTTATACAACTGAAAAAATATTATTTAGATTTCTCTTCAAAATGACTTTCTTCGTCCCCGTTGTTCCTTTTTTTAATTTGAAAAAAGGATAAAGTCACTGGAAGCCAGGTCCGAACTGTGGGGTGGTTGGTAAATTTCTGTAAATCCAATAGCTTTTAACGCATCCCTCGCAACCGTTCGCGCCCTATCTTGCCACATCTCTGCTGTACGATTGCCTCACTTCTGTCTGCCTGACTCAAGAAACAGGCCGTTCATTGTAGTTAGCCTTGATAAGTAATCAATTAATAATATTCCCTTGCTATCCCAGAAAATGATAGTCATAATTTTTGACGCCGACTTTTCCACTATAATATTCTTTGTTGGCCTTTCCCTTTTTTTATCCACTGCATCGACCTTTGTTTGGGCTTGGGATCATACCGATCAATACAATTTTAAGTATTTCCGCCAAAAAATGCAGCTGAAACTTAATTCCAGTTTGTATTGGTCTTTAAGCAAGAAATATGTGGTCAGCCTTGAAAACAAAGATCTTCTTTATGGAATTGAGTTATGGGGCACACCTTGCGCGATCCTTTTATCGGGGAAAAGCTTACGCCTGAACAACGTTTACAAATCGTTCAACTTTATTACTTTCACGTTCTGTAAGGAATTTATCGCGCGCTTCGCTCAACTTATGGTCAACATAATTGGGCTACTGAGCGTACAACTCGCAATACAATCATCAATTTTAAGACCCAGCATTGATTATTTGATTGGGTTGGTCGAATATTACTGAATAGACCACGTCCAGAACGCAGTGAAGAAAATAGAGCAGCCGTAGCTCAGACTGGAGAGAGTTGATTCGACACCGTTCGCAGCAGCTCGGACTGACGTATGAAGCGATTTGGCGCAGTGCAAGAACTGAAGCCTCTCGACCTTCCCAAGCGACACAGCTTCCCTCTATGGGCTCTTGAATAGTTCCAAGGAGCTCCAAATTTTCTTTAGCGATGAGGCCTATTTCTGGCTTAATGGGTATGTAAACAAGTAAAACTGCCCCATTTGGGAGAAAGAGCAACCTGAAGAGGTTCGAGAGCTGCAATTTTATCCAGAAAAAACACGGTTTTGCTCAAGACCGTGGTGAGGCATGCCGTTGTAAGAGGCGACTAAAATCCGATAGTTCGCGCGAAAGTCAGGTTTTATACCGCAACGACTTGGATTTGTATATGGCTAAGGACTGTTACTCCCGCAATATTATGCGGATACAACAACACCATTTTCGCGCCATGGTAAAAAACTACTAGATGTATGGAAAAGACGCACGTGATCACGACGACATTTGGTTTCAACAAGACGTCGCCACTTCATACATACGATGAGCAGATAATTTCACGTTTTGGGCCGGTCGATTGGCCACCAAGAGCGTTAGACTTTTTCCTGCGGGGATATGTAAAGTCTATAGTCTATGCGGAAAATACCCTTTTGATTCAGGACTTGGAGCAAAACATCACGCGAGTCATTCAGCAGTTACGTCAGATGGGCTCAACGAATAGATCATCTGAGACGAAGCCGCGGACAACATTTGAAAGAGATAATCTTCAAAAAATCAATGCCAAATAATGTTTTTTCGAATGACAATAAACATTCCCCATTACATTTTAATTTTCAGTGTTTCTTTTCTTTACAAGAGTACGGAATCTCGAAATTGATCTCCTTTAATTTTCCTTCCAATTATTAATTATACTTTGTATTTTAATTTGTTTACATCATTATGCAAGAAAATATTAAATCTTAATGCACTAATGTTTTAAATCTAACAAATCTAAAAATTAATTAAAAAATAGTAATATAAATGATAATAAGAGTAAAAATAATAACATTAATGTTAAAAGTGACGGCTAGTATATAATAACATTTTTACTTAAAAACATTAACAAAATGTGTAGTTTAATTCACCAAAAGAGAGTATGTCGATACCTCTTAAAGTTTTATAATAGACATGGTTTTTGCTCACATAAGCCGTGTCAAAATTCCTGTTGAGGTTATATTCACGAGTGTTTAGTGGAAATGCAAGAGGTTCTATTTTGCAGTGCCCATTTATCACTTTTTTCGGGATGAGTTCAATTGTAGCTTTGATAGACCCTTCAGTTCTTTTAAGATTAAATTGTTGATTTGAATTGGGGGGTTAGATGAGTTGGTTTTAGAAGACATGCAAAGAGGTGGATGTGCTGAAACTCATTGCATGCATGACACATGTCGGTATGTCGAGAATGACATTCACTGTAAGAGAATTCCGTAAAGTGTAAGGTTTCCTGTCACAGTCCTAAGAGAGGTGTTTTGGCAGGCTTGTAGCATTTAGGATTTTATTGATGGTCTGGAGTTTTGTGGCAACTATGGCCGTATGCGGAGAACAGGCTATCGAATGTGACTCCCAGTAACTTCGGGTTGTTTATAGTCGGTCTTTTTACACCATCGAGCCGGTACTCTTTCGTCCAGCTGGTGAAGAGTTTAGCCGGGGATTTCGCTGGCTTTAGCTGTGGTTGTCTTGCAGGGAAGATAAAGGTCGTCGAGATTGTATTTGACTTTCTAACATAGTTTATCAATATCGAGCAATTATCGGCATGTTGGAATAGAGACATCCTTTCTGGGGTAGAAGTTAAATAACGGTGGGGAGAGAACACCACCCTGCGGAATAACTTGTTTAATCTTTCTGAGTTTGGATGTTTGACCTCGAAAGTCTACCGATGATTGTCAAACCCTTAGGTAGACCATGGCCCATCCGTTGCATCCGCATGCTTATTTCGTCGCGGCCGTAGGATTTAGATGGTTTCGCTTTCTCGATGGCCCTCCTGAACATTTTTCCTAGAGAAATCAACCGCGCAGGTGCTTGGCATTTTTCGCTGACGGCGGGTCACTTTTCGCTCCATTTTGTCAATCGAGGGAAAATCGGCAAAAATAGCTCACTTTGGGTCCGACGAGGAGCGATTACTGAAAGAAATTTTCATCCGGTCCTCGTTTCTCTTCGGATTTAACAACGATTTAATTGTGGCCCAGAACTTGACTACCCCAACTGGACGCCGAAACTGCCTATTGAGCTCCCTGATAAGGTCATTACCGCAATCGGCATGATGAAGTATTCTAATTGCTTGTTCATTTCGCGATTCCCTTTGCCGACAGCCAGATTTATAGTCAAGGGGATTTTTCGAGCTTTCGGTTGGAACAGCTGCTTACTTATTATTCTCTTTGTACATCTAACCCCTTTAAAATAATATTACGTTTTGTTCTAAAATACATAGAGTTTATCTTTTATTTTTCTCGACGTTTGTTCTTTAGTAAGGATGTTTTCTTCTTTCCGCAAATTATTTAATTCTTGTGTTTTACTTTGCAATTGCTGATGCAATCTTTTAGATATATCTGAGCCCGTGGGATTACGTTCGATCGATTTTTGTAACTTTAAAATTTCTCTCTCCTTTCGACGTATATCATCCGCAATCCGTACACTAGCAACATTCAAGGATTTCATTGTCTCATTACTAAGTGAAGTATTTTTTTGTATTTTTTTTCTCATTTCAGTATTTCCACCTAAAATGTTTTCATTGATGAATGAAAATACATCTGTTCGTCGAGTCTCCCGCTCATAAGCCTTTGCATTGATGCCTTCTTGTTTTTTCTGTTGAATTCTTAATTTCTTTTCCACGCTGTAGAAGTCTTTTTCTCCATTAGCAGCTTCGCGTATCTCCATGCAACGATCAAGAGAACATCCCTGAGGCAAAATTTGTGCTGAAACCGGCACGACAATGCCGCTTCCATCTGAACCTAAACCAGTGCCATGGACATATCCCATTTTAGCCATTATTTTTGAACCAATTCCCTGTTTATTTGATAAATGCATAAATAGATATGCGTAAGCAATTAATTACATTAGAAATTTTATACCCGTGTATGCTTTTCCCATTCGCCGAGCGGTTCAGTGGAATTCAATTCAAACAAACTTCTTTCTATAATATTTTCTCGTTTCTGGTCATTCATATCTTCTAAATAATCCCTGTCATCATCTTCGCAATATTCATCCGTGCTGCTACTGGATACGTCGTCCTCTAAATATAAATATTAAATACATAGCTCGTTTCCTAATATTTAAAACAAAAGTATACAAACCGTGAGATATTGGCAGTAAATCTTCGAAAGGAAAATCACGTTCTCGTGAATTTTCATCATTTCGATCAAGTCGAACTCGACATATTTGCTCCACGAAATTTGTACAAATAACATGACCTCGATACCAAAGGCGATCTGGCAATTTGGCAAGTACAACACAATTTCGGGCAAGTCGCTCAAAATTTGGTTCTGTATATGGTCCTAGCTTCTCAGCATCTACCAGCTCACCATGGGAATAATGACACTGTTTTTCATCAAATCGACACTCTCCCTCAAGGTAAAATAAGCAAGGCATCATTTCTTTGTGTGTAGGATTTGTGAAAAGTACTCGCAATCGTGCCTTTAGTTCTCCCTCACTGTCAATATTAGCTATTTCTTCTATTCCACACACTATAGCATTGTGGTAACTTATTGCTCCCCAAGAGTGCTGATGTGGTGCAGAGCATTTCTCACCCACCATTTCTTCTAATTTAGACTTAAATAAAATATAACAATTTTTGCGAAAGTTATTTTTAGTTATAGGGGTCTATGTTTACCTTTAGTTCTATTAAATTTTGTCCTATATCTGCTTTAGTTGTGTCCGTTGCATCAACACTAACATTATCCAAGAGTGCTATTTCCCTTTGAAACCTCTCCAACTCATCCTTAAAGCTAAACTCATCTTCGGTATTTCTGAGTTGCGCAGCATTCGTCTGTTCAGTTAATTCAATAAGTTCTTCAAGGTTTGCTTTGAGCGAGTTTAGTGCAGTACGTTCTTCCAAATCTTCTACAGTTTTAAGTGACTGTTCAACACTTTGAAGCTAAGAAAATTTGAGAATTTATTTGAAGAACTTTACATATAAATGTGTATTTAAATATAACAAATTACTTGTTGTTCATATTCATCTGTATTCAAGTTCATGTTAAATTATAGAGACTGAAAATATAATTTATTTTCAGGTAACGAAATAAGTTTATTTTGATTTTGCAATGTCAAACCAGAGAGCTGGTTAAACAGTGAAGTAATTTTTTGACATTTGAACGTAGAATGTCTAAGGGCAGATCAGAAGTACAATTTTACCTTACCGGCGTTGATTTAAAAGAGCACGCAAGTGAAATGCTTTTGACATTTTAATTTTGAGTTGAAGTATCAAAATATAATTTTGTGACGATTTTACTAAATCAACCTCGATAATTTTCTGAATCCTTCGGGTACGATCTCTGGATTGTTAAGTAAAAACTCGCCAACTTAATTTGAAGTTTCTTGTGTCATAAAGAATTAAACAATGTCCTTTATTTTCTCAGTAATTCACAATTCAATTATAATGCACTTTACTATTTACAATCACTANCTCTCCAGGTGGACCACTTTCATCTTGTTTCTTGGACTCCCAACGGTTTGGATCCGATACACTACGTCGTTTAGCCGTTTGATTACCTTGTATGGACCTTCCGAATTACATTGAAGTTTTTGGGACAAACCCCTCTTCCGTTGTGGATTGTACAGCGACACTAAATCTCCATTTTGGAAACCCTCGGAGTTCATCGCCTTGTCATACCTAGCCTTCATTTTGTCACTCATAACTTGAGTTCGCTGTCTCTCAAGAGCATGTACCTCTCTTAGCTCTTCCTCGAGATCGGTAGACGTTACCTTCCCATTCTCGCATCGCCTGTTATTCCAAATTTTTAATCGTTGGGCATAGAGGAAAAATCCGCTGCACTATTCGTTGCGTTGGAAAGACCTGCAGCCGAACTTTTACAAACCATATCCGTAAACGAAAGAAACGATTACGACGGATTGATGCGAGCTCTGGAAAGACGCTATGGTAGCGAACACAGAAGACAGATTTACCAGATGGAGTTAGAAAAACGCGACCAAAAATCCAACGAATCTCTGCAGGAACATGCTTCGGAAGTTGAGAGATTGGCTCATTTAGCCATTGGAGAGACATCGGGTGAGCATCTTGGAAGTGTGAAGATACAAAGGTTCATCAGCGGACCAAAAGACGTAAACACCAAGCGAGAGACATATGCGAATCCAAAGTTGACATTCGCTGAAACTGTTGCGTATGCGCAAACACGGGAAACGGCGGCACTCATAAGCATACCATCCTACAAAGTAAATAAAGTAGAGGTCGAAACACCATCACAGAAATAGTGACAACCCTGAAATCGCTAGAAGGGATGAATCGTTCTGGTGTCAAAGCTCAAGCGGGAAAGTGCTTTAAATGTGGGAAGCCTGGTCACTACGCATGCGAATGCAAAACCAGTTCCAACGGACAGGAGGTACAGCGGAAACGGAAGGCAGAGGAAGATGAACCATCAACTTCTCAATCGTTAAACTAAAACGATAATAATAAATAATCTCCGTATCGCAAATTGGCAGAAAACTGAGCAACATTACTATTGGTGGATATGTCAATGGACGAGAGGGAATATTAGCAGTGGATACGTTCGCATCACACTCCATTATTCGAACTGATCTGATCGCTAAAGAAGTGAGACCATTACCTGGAGCAATATTGAAAACGGCGACTGGTGAGGATAGCCAAGTGGTGGGCGAAGTAAC